ATCCCGATTCCCACCCCATCCCCACCCCACCCCATGCAGTTCTATCTCACCCCATGCCACCCCATCCCATTCCCACCCCACACAGGTGGCATCGTGCTGATCGCCGGCACCGGTTCCAACTGCCAGCTGGTGAACCCCGATGGCACGGAGAGCAGCTGCGGTGGTTGGGGTCACATGCTGGGCGACGAGGGCTCGGGTGAGCGTGGCTGTGGGGTGGGGGTGGGGTGGGGGCAGGGGGGGATGCTTTTTGGGGTCAACATGGGGTCCCACAGCGTATTGGATCGCGCACCGGGCGGTGAAGGCTGTGTTTGACAGCATGGACAACCTGGAGGTGTCACCGCACGACGTCGACTACGTCAAGCAAGCCATGTTCCAGTACTTCCAGGTGTGGGGAGGGGGGTGGGGTGGGGGTGGGATGGGGATGAGATGGGATGGGGATGGGGATGGGGAGGGGATGGGGATGGGATGGGAAGGGGAGGGGATGGGAGGGGATGGGGAAGGGGAAGGGATCAGATGGGGATGGGAGGGGATGGGATGGAATGGAGATGAGATGAGGTGAGATGGGATGGAGACGGGAATAGGATTGGATGGGATGGAGGTGGGTTGGGGGCTGTCTGAGCCCCCTGACCCCCCCTCTTGGTGTCCCTCTCCCCCAGATCTCCAACAGGATGGGGCTCCTGCCGCACCTCTACCGCAACTTCCAGAAGGCCGAGTTCGCGGGGTTCTGCCGGAAGGTGGCAGAGGGTAGGGCAAAAAGTGGGGAATGGGGGCTGGGGGGACCCTCCCTGCTGCTGGGTGGGGATCCATGGGTGACCTTGGCTCCTCATGGTGGAGATCCGCAGCTCTGCCTTGGTTCTGGGTGGGCATCCGTGGTCATCCCGTGGCTCTGGGTGGGCATCCATGGCTGTCCCTTGGCTTTCAGTGGAGATGTGTAGTTGTCCCTTGGCTCGTGGTGGGGATCTGGTGGTGGGGATCTTGGTGAGGATCCATGGTTGTCGCTTGGTTCTCAATGGGGATCCATCCCTCGGTTCTTGGTGGGGATCTGTGGTTGTCCCTTGGCTCATGGTTGGGATCCAGAGTTGTCTCTTGGTTCACAGTGGGGATCCAGTAGTGGGGATCTTGGTGGAGATCCGTGGATGTCCGTTCACTGTCAGTGGGGATCCATGGTTCTTTTTTGGTTCATGGTGGGGATCCATGGATGTCCCTTGGTTCTCAGTGGGGATCCATGGATGACCTTGGCTCCTCATGGTGGAGATCCACAGCTCTCCTTTGGTTCTTGGCGGGCATCCGTGGTCATCCTGTGGTTCTGGGTGGGGATCCATGGTTGTCCCTTGGTTTTTAGTGGAGATCTGTAATTGTCCCTTGGCTCTTGGTGGGGATCCGGTGGTGGGGATCTTGGTGAGGATCTATGGATGTCCTTTGGCTCATGGTGGGGATCCATGGATGCCTTTGGTTCTCAATGGGGATCCATGGGTGACCTTGGCTCCTCATGGTGGAGATCCACAGCTCTCCCTTGGCTCTTGGTGGGGATCCATTCTTTGCTTCTTGAAGGGGATCCGTGGTCATCCCATGGATCTGGGTGGGGATCCACAGTTGTCCCTTGGCTTTCAGTGGAGATGTGTAGTTGTCCCTTGGCTCTTGGTGGGGATCCGGTGGTGGGGATCTTGGTGAGGATCTATGGATGTCCTTTGGTCATGGTGGGGATCCATGGATGTCCCTTGGTTCTCAGTGGGGATCCATGGATGTCCTTGTCTCCTGATGGTGGAGATCCACTGCTCTCCCTTGGTTCTTGGTGGGCACCCATGGATGTCCCACGGCTCTCAGTGGGGATCCATTCTTCGCTTCTTGAAGGGGATCCACCCCTGTCCCGTGATTCTGGGCGGGGACCCACGGCTGCCCCTCGTTTTGCGGTGTGGATCCGTCCCTTGGCTGTCGGTGGGGACCCTGGATGTCCCTTGGTCCGTGGGGGGGTCCAGCCTTTGCTCAGGACCCCGTGCCCCCCAGGTGCCCACGCTGGGGACGCGCTGTGCCGCCACGTCTTCCTGCAGGCCGGGGAGGTGCTGGCCCGCCATGTGCTCGCCGTGCTGCCCCGCGTGGATGAGGTGAGCGGCACCGGGGGGGTGGGGGGTGGGGGGCAGCCCCCATCCTGCCCTCTGGCCCGGCACCAACACGGTGCCCGGATTGGGGGGGGGGGAGGCTCCTTGCCCCATTTCCCCCCCCAACACACACAGAGCCTGTTCCGGGGGGAGCTGGGGCTCCCCATCGTCTGCGTGGGCTCCGTCTGGAACAGCTGGGAGCTGCTGAGAGAAGGTGAGCTGGGGGGTGCGTGGCTGGGGGGGCACCCTTAGTCCCCTCTCCATACGCAGCACCCCTTCCTCTGCTCCAGGCTTCGTGCAGGCGTTGGTTCGAGCGCGGGGGGGGGATTCCTTGGGGGCTTTCTCCCACTTCAGCCTCCTGCGGCTGCGCCACTCCTCGGCCCTGGGGGGGGCCAGCCTGGGGGCCCGGCACGTGGGGCACAAATTGCCACTGGATTACAGCAGCAACGCCGACGTCTTCTACACGCATCACTTCTAGGGGAGGGGGGGCACACGGCCCCCCGGGGATGGTTTTGGCTGAACTGTGTCTTATTTGGGTCATAAATGGTGAAATTTTGTGCTGAGCGCTCTGCAGTCGGGGGGGGAGGGAGAA